ATGGTTACTCTGTGCCTGGTTCATCTGATTTGTATTTTGTTAAAGCATTGGGGTTTGACTCATCAAATCAATTAAAAGGAAGATGTTTCTTTTTTTTTGATTTTCTTTCTGTTAAAAGGGAAGGTGAGAAGTTACAATTAGGAGGAGGGCTGGGAGAGGGGCAAAGAAGAGCGATGAGGGCTGAGGAAAGAGCCGTGGTGGGAGCAGAGGGTCATTCGTTGGGTTTTTGATCTCCCCTTCAGGACGTGGATGCCGCTTACATGAACAAGGTGGAGTTGCAGGCTAGAGCGGACAGCCTGACAGATGAAACCAACTTCCTGAGGACACTCTATGAAATGGTGATTCCTTGGTTTCCCAAGTTCCAGAGCTCTCCCGTCTGCTTCCTCCAAAGCATACTTCCCAAGCATAACTTTAGTGGACAGTCAAGCAGCAGTATGCTCCCCAAACCGGCAACAGGGCTCAGAACTTAGCTCTGGCCCATCCAGAAAATGTTAACTTAGCTCCCCCAGCCAGCTCCCCCAGCTTCCCCTGTCCTCAGCCCATTTTGCTCCACACCTTCCCTCTGGCTCCTATATGAGCATCACAGCTGACTTCATAATACTCCTCCCTTTGGTGGTCCCATGGAAACCCACACACAGTAGGGCTCACTGGCTGGTATTTTTAGGTTGACAACCTGATTATATTTGCATATTTCTTTTTTCCTTTACCTTGTCTGGCAGTCTTTATTTAGGCTGCAGCCAGGACTGAAATGTAAGCTTATTTTTCTAACTGTCCCACTAGCAGCCCCATCCTTGGGGTATCTCTGCTACTAGAGGATTCCCAGTATCTCCTGGGGCCAGGGGATTGTAAGTGACTATCTATGTTCCCTGCAGGAGCTGTCCCAGATGCAGAGCCATATCAGTGACACATCTGTGGTGTTGTCTATGGACAACAACCGGGACTTGGACCTGGATGGCATCATTGCTGAGGTTCGCACTCAGTACGAGGAGATCGCCCAGAGGAGCAAGGCCGAGGCTGAGGCACTGTACCAGACCAAGGTGAGAGCCCTCCCCTCGTCCCTATACTCTAGTTTTAGGTCCTGATGATCTTCATCAAGAATGTGCCAACACTTTGCAAAGCCATGGTGACCAGTTTCTTCTCCATTAGCTTGGGGAGTTGCAGACCACGGCCGGCAGGCATGGTGATGACCTGAGGAGCACCAAGAGTGAGATCACGGAGCTCAACAGGATGATTAAGAGGCTGCGGGCTGAGATCGAGAGTGTCAAGAAACAGGTGGGTCCAGGCTTACTGGACAGATCCTAAAGGTCTCTTGGCCCCGGTGAGAAGGAGGAAGGAGAAGCACAAGCTTTGCTTCTCTGCCACGTGCTGTCTCTGTCCTTTAAGATGTTTCTCTTGGAGGCTGGGCTTCTTGGAATGCCTAAGGAGAGATGGTTGTCCACTATACTTTGCCCAGCAAGCTGTACTGGTGGCCTTAAACACTCAGCTCTCAGCAGGATCTGCCCTCAGCTCAGCTATTTAAAACACTGTTCACATAACCTTGATGGCTGCTCTGTATCACTGGAATTAAGTGATTAGGCAAGGGAGTTTTTAACAGTCTTGCAAGAAAGACTGGAGACTAAGCAGACCACTACTACTTTTACTGGCTACGAAAGCAAATCAGTGCACCTTTTCCTGATGAGAGATGAAC